TGTTGTTCTGGGTGCGGTGGGAGAAAGCGTGTGAGAAACGGTGACGTCTGGAGCCGCCGCCGCAGAAGCGGGGGAGACGGAGGGAGACGGTCCCGAGCCGGGACCGGACCCCCACGGCGGGGCACCAGCGGAGGACCGCTGGGAGAGACGGGGCGTCTGGGTCTCGCTGAGGAGGGACGGCCGCGGGCAGACGCGCAGCTCGGCTGCGTTCGCGCCCGGGCCTGGAGGCGAGCCTGCGGGGCTGGAGGAACCGTCCGCCGAAGCGCCAGTGCCGGGCACCGGGGCAGGCGGGGGCCCTCCACGGCAGGCCACGTGTGCTTATCGGTCGGGTCGGAGATGTTGGGCTGGGAGCCAGACTTCCAACAGGCACGTGGGACGGACCGTAATCCGCTCACAGTGCACTGCGGTCGGCTTGGCTGAAGCCAGACCCTGGGGGACACTGACGGAGCTCCAACAGAACCAGGGAGCAGTCCACGGACTAATTACAGCCCAGGACAGACTCACCAGAGCGGCCGGAGACCGCCAGCCAATCGCCAGGTAGATCCATCGACTTTCAGAGCTTCTACACACATGGAACCGTGAGCGGGGAAAAACGTTCAAAAATGACCAAAGACACCATAATTCACCCATGTAGCTTCTCACCTGAGGCCAGCGAAGGCCCCTGGATGGGTCAATGGTCAAAACTCCGCTCTTTTTACTGGTTCTCAAGGTCTCGAAAAACTCTCTCCTGAAATCCTGCCGGTGGGGTTTTTCGAAACTGGTAACTGAAGTTCCTTTTTCCCCGAATGGGCGGGGCTTAAGTGCCTGTTCAGGGAGGGCAATGCTTTGTATGCCTTTGTCTGTGCCCCTGGTAAGGCATAGGGACTTTGAAAAATTTCAGGACTGCACCCGCGATGGCCCGGACTGTGAGCCTTCGCGGGTACAGGCCTGGTTGCCTGCTGAGTCGCCCCGGGGATCCAGACCGGCGATTGGGACTGGGGATTCGCCCCGGCGGGGACTGGGACCGAAAATTCGGCAAGGGGAATCCGACCGACAGTTCGCACAGGCGGGGAATGGGACCGAAAATTCGGCCCGGCGGTGGATCGGACCGAAAATTCGGACCGGCGGGGGATCGGACCGACGTTTCGCACCCAGAATTCGGCCCCGATATTCGGCCTGAATATTCGGAGCCCTGGGTGAACCGGGTGGGTTCCGGACGGGGAGGGGGGGCTCAGGTCTCCCCACAAAGGGGAGGCCCTGACCGGCCCCTGGGGACCGGCCAGCCCCCTCTCCGCCCTGGAGCTTGGCGGATGGGACTTGGGCTCCGGACGGGGAGGGGGGGCTCAGGTCTCCCCACAAAGGGGAGGCCCTGACCGGCCCCGGGGGACCGGCCAGCCCCCTCTCCGCCCTGGAGCTAGGCGGATGGGACTTGGGCTCCGGACGGGGAGGGGGGGCTCAGGTCTCCCCACAAAGGGGAGGCCCTGACCGGCCCCAGGGGACCGGCCAGCCCCCTCTCCGCCCTGGAGCTAGGCGGATGGGACTTGGGCTCCGGACGGGGAGGGGGGGCTCAGGTCTCCCCACAAAGGGGAGGCCCTGACCGGCCCCGGGGGACCGGCCAGCCCCCTCTCCGCCCTGGAGCTTGGCGGATGGGACTTGGGCTCCGGACGGGGAGGGGGGGCTCAGGTCTCCCACAAAGGGGAGGCCCTGACCGGCCCCAGGGGACCGGCCAGCCCCCTCTCCGCCCTGGAGCTAGGCGGATGGGACTTGGGCTCCGGACGGGGAGGGGGGGCTCAGGTCTCCCCACAAAGGGGAGGCCCCGACCGGCCCCGGGGGACCGGCCAGCCCCCTCTCCGCCTGGAGCGAGGCATCCGGGTGGGTCTCAGGCTGCGGATGGGACTTGGGCTGTGTGCATATGGGAAGGCGCTAATTCTGCAAGGACAGGACGGACGGTCCCTTGATCCTTCCTTAGGTTCACCTACGGAGGTGTTCTTGTTACGACTTTAAATTCAGATAGTCAAGTTTAATCTTCTTGGCCGAACCCCGGGCGGGGCCGGTCCGTGGACGGCTCGGAGGCATCCGAGCCGTCCTCTGAGATTGGTGAAGCCTTCCTTGGATGTGTTTGCCATTCTCTCCGATCGGTTACGCCTTCCTTGGATGTGTTTGCCATTCTCTCCGATTAGTCATGCCTTCCTTGGATGTGTTTCGCCATTCTCTCCGATTAGTCATGCCTTCCTTGGATGTGTTTCGCCATTCTCTCCGATTAGTCAGGCCTTCCTTGGATGTGTTTCGCCGTTCTCTCTGATTAGGCATGCCTTCCTTTGATGGGTTCTCCATTCTCAGTCCTGCAGGGTTGGAGGAACCGTCCGCCGAAGCGCCGGTACCGAAGCACCGGGGCCCACGGGGGCCATCCATGGCAGGTGAGGTGGAGAACCAGCACGGAAGTCATGCCTCTCTCCGCCGGGGAGAGACGGGGCGTCTGGGTCTCGCTGAGGAGGGACGGCCACGGGCAGAAGCGCAGCTCCGCTGCGTTCGTGCCCGGGCCTGGAGGCGAGCCTGCGGGGCTGGAGGAACCGTCCGCCGAAGCGCCGGTGCCGGGGCACCTTGGCCGGCGGGGGCCCTCCACGGCAGGCCACGTGTGCTTATCGGTCGGTCGGAGATGTTGGGCTGGGAGCCAGACTTCCAACAGGCACGTGGGACGGACCGTAATCCGCTCACAGTGCACTGCGGTCGGCTTGGCTGAAGCCAGACCCTGGGGGACACTGACGGAGCTCCAGAAGAACCAGGGAGCCGTCCACGGACTGATTACAGCCCAGGACAGACTCACCAGAGCGGCCAGAGCCCGCCAGCCAATCGCCAGGTAGATCCATCGACTTGGAGAGCTCCTGCACACACGGAACCGTGAGCGGGGAAAAACGTTCAAAAACGGCCGAAAACCCCATAAATCACCAACTTACCTTCTCATCTGGGGCCAGCGAAGGCCCCTGGAGGGGTCCACGGCCGAAAATCCGCTCTTCTTCCGGAATTGGTGGTCTCGAAAAACTCTCTCCTGAAATCCCGCCGGTGGGGTTTTTAGGAACGGGTAACGGAAGTTCCGTTTTCCCCGATTGGGCGGGGCTTAAGCGGGTGTTCAGGGAGGGCAATGCTTTTTATGCCTTTTTCTGCGCCCCTGGTCAGGCATAGGGACTTTGAAAAATTTCAGGACTGCACCCGCGATGGCCCGGACTGTGAGCCTTCGCGGGTGCAGGCCTGGTGGCCTGCGGTAAGGGACCGGGGATAGGGACCGGGGAAAGGGACCGGGGAAAGGGACCGGGATAGGGACCGGGGAATGGGACCGGGGATAGGGACCGGGGAATGGGACCGGGGAATGGGACCGGGGGAACGGACCGACGTTTCGCACCCAGAATTCGGCCCCGATATTCGGCCTGAATATTCGGAGCCCTGGGTGAACCGGGTGGGTTCCGGACGGGGAGGGGGGGCTCAGGTCTCCCCACAAAGGGGAGGCCCTGACCGGCCCCGGGGGACCGGCCAGCCCCCTCTCCGCCCTGGAGCTAGGCGGATGGGACTTGGGCTCCGGACGGGAGGGGGGGCTCAGGTCTCCCCACAAAGGGGAGGCCCTGACCGGCCCCGGGGGACCGGCCAGCCCCCTCTCCGCCCTGGAGCTAGGCGGATGGGACTTGGGCTCCGGACGGGGAGGGGGGGCTCAGGTCTCCCCACAAAGGGGAGGCCCTGACCGGCCCCGGGGGACCGGCCAGCCCCCTCTCCGCCCTGGAGCTAGGCGGATGGGACTTGGGCTCCGGACGGGGAGGGGGGGCTCAGGTCTCCCCACAGAGGGGAGGCCCTGACCGGCCCCGGGGGACCGGCCAGCCCCCTCTCCGCCCTGGAGCTAGGCGGATGGGACTTGGGCTCCGGACGGGGAGGGGGGGCTCAGGTCTCCCCACAAAGGGGAGGCCCTGACCGGCCCCGGGGGACCGGCCAGCCCCCTCTCCGCCCTGGAGCTAGGCGGATGGGACTTGGGCTCCGGACGGGGAGGGGGGGCTCAGGTCTCCCCACAGAGGGGAGGCCCTGACCGGCCCCGGGGGACCGGCCAGCCCCCTCTCCGCCCTGGAGCTAGGCGGATGGGACTTGGGCTCCGGACGGGGAGGGGGGCTCAGGTCTCCCCACAGAGGGGAGGCCCTGACCGGCCCCGGGGGACCGGCCAGCCCCCTCTCCGCCCTGGAGCTAGGCGGATGGGACTTGGGCTCCGGACGGGGAGGGGGGGCTCAGGTCTCCCCACAAAGGGGAGGCCCTGACCGGCCCCGGGGGACCGGCCAGCCCCCTCCGCCCTGGAGCTAGGCGGATGGGACTTGGGCTCCGGACGGGGAGGGGGGGCTCAGGTCTCCCCACAAAGGGGAGGCCCTGACCGGCCCCGGGGGACCGGCCAGCCCCCTCTCCGCCCTGGAGCTAGGCGGATGGGACTTGGGCTCCGGACGGGGAGGGGGGGCTCAGGTCTCCCCACAAAGGGGAGGCCCTGACCGGCCCCGGGGGACCGGCCAGCCCCCTCTCCGCCCTGGAGCTAGGCGGATGGGACTTGGGCTCCGGACGGGGAGGGGGGGCTCAGGTCTCCCCACAGAGGGGAGGCCCTGACCGGCCCCGGGGGACCGGCCAGCCCCCTCTCCGCCCTGGAGCTAGGGCCGGGGGGGTCCTGGGGGGGCGGCACCGAGGGAGGGGGCCAGGGGGGGGCCCCACTCAGGGTGGGGGGACCGGGGGGGTCCGCCCGTGGATGGGGGGGGTCAGCTCACCCCATCCGCGTGACCCAAGGGGCGCTTTCGCTAACCCCACTTAGGGTCCTAAGAGGGCTGCCGCACTTGCGGCCGGGTGACCGCCGATTCGGACGCCGTGGAGGGCGGCACCGCAGATGCGGGGGCCGCCTGCTGGAAGGGACCGCCAATCCAGTCCCTGGATCCATCCCGGCTCTTGGGGCGGACTCTGCGCCCCGCCCGGCCGCAGGTGCGCTGCGGCCGATTGCCCGCAGCTGCACCGCATCAGGCCTGATTAGGACGCCGGCTACTTGGCCAGGGGCATGTGCTCGCCGGCCTCAGTCGGAGTTTTGCAGCAGCAGGGTGAGGAGCAACATGACCGCGTCCAAGTTCGTGAACCGATGTCCCGTGTGCTCACGCAAGTCCTGGCGGCTGCGTGAGCACCTGGACGAGAAGCACAAGGTTAGGAATCCGGTGGAGCGTCGTGTCCTCCTGGCGTTCGCCAGGGGCCGGGTGAACGTCAAGGGGATGCGGTGTCCGGTGCAGCGCTGCGGGTACGACGGCCGCCGTGTGCAGCAGCACCTGCAGGAGTCCCACCGCGACATGGGTCAGCGGCAGAAGCGGCGTCTTCTGGCCGGCCTGCAGTGGCAGAAGACGCTGGAGAAGCTGCGGCAGCTGAGGCGCTCGGACCCCCACCCACCCATGGCTACCGGGCTGGACCTGCCGGAGGCAGGCGACAGGGCCCCGGCAGAGGCGGAGGTTCGGCCATCCCGCAGCTCACCTCCGCCACGCAGACCGGTGGTGGAGGATGAGGAGGAAGAGCAGGACGACGAGGAGGACATGCAGGCGGAGGAACAGGGGGCGCAGGAGGAGCCGGAGGAGCCTGAGCTGATGGAGGTAGACCACCACCACCACGACGACGGGGGCTCAGCTCCACCATCGCCGGGACCACCCTTGCCTCCCAGCCCCGACGAGCCACGTTCCCCGGAGCGGGGGAACCAGCAGGACCAGCAGGACCCGCAGGAGGGCGGATCCAGACGGCAGAGCCCGACCTCGACCACGCCTGCGGACCCCACAGAGCCCACCGAGCCCACCGAGCCCACAGAACCGGTGCGTACAACCGTACACTTTCCTGAGTGTGTCATGCAGTATTTGGCCGGGTACAGGAGGCACCTGGTGGGTGCCCTCCCGTCGAAGAAGCATGTGGAGAACGCCAGGTCCAAGATGGGCAGAGTGGACCAGTTCCTGCGCAGGATGGCCGAGGGAAAGAGCGGCCTGGAGACCTGGCGGTTCATGGTTGATGCCGACAGGGTCCTCGGCTGGCCGGCGGACCTGCTCAAGCAGGGCAAGCAGATAACGACAGTGAAGGTGTACCTGGTCAACACGGGTCAGTTCCTGACCTACTTCACGGAGACTCCGCCTGAGACCTCCACCGTGCCCCAGCATGGACTCGTCTCCGTCTCGCGGGCCCTGAAATCCGCCGCGGGGCAGATCTCAACCACCGTGGTGCTGCACCAGATACAGGTCAAAGACCAGAAGGAGAAACGCACTGTTTCAGCGCCGGTTCTGCGCAGGTGTCTGGAGGAGTGTCGCAGATGGATCCGGAGCTTTTGCGCGACTCATCGCGGAGGAGGCACGACGTGGTCCTGCGATACCAGCTATTCGGTTGCTTCGCGCTGTTGGTCGCTTCTCTGTACGGCCACAGAGCAGGCGTGGTCCGCAACATGACAGCTGCTGAGGTACGAGAAGCCGAGGATGGACACCGGCGCGACTCCTCCGGCTATGTCATTAACGTAAGTGCCCCGTCCCAGCGAGCACTTCATCCCGGAGGCAGAACCAGGGCCCTGGTAGCAGAGAACCGTGACTGCAGCCTCTCGGTTGAACCCATCAACCGAGAGGCTGCAGTCACGGGCCTCTGCGAACCAGGACCTCCAGCCCAACAACTTACCTTCCTTCCCCAGCAGAGAGCTCCACATTCCAGGTCAGAAACTCACCTCTGCTGTCCTCGTCTGTCTGTCCCTCCATCCCGCAGGTGAGACAACACAAGACGGCCAGGGCTTTCGGGAGCGCCCAGCTCTTCCTGACGCCGGAGGAGTTCGGATGGCTAAAGAGCTGGATGACCATACGCAGCAAGCTGCGCCCCCAGACCGACCTGGTGTTTTTCAACTGCAACGGAGGACCGGTACACAAGCTGACCTCCTTCGCCCGGGACGCATGGGCGAGGATGCGCCTGCCTGGATCCCCCTCCCTGACCGACATACGCACCGCGGTAGCCACGATGGTAGGTAGACCTGAGCTTCGTCCCCAGCCTTGAGCTTTCTCCACGGTCCCTCTCACTCTCTCTCTCTCTCTCTTCACAGGCGAGGGACACCCAGTGCACGGAGGTCCGAAGGCAGATGTCACACTTGATGTGTCACGACACCAGAACCGCGGACCGTTTCTACGCGATGCAGCTGAGTGTGACCCAGTTGGCCGCCATGCGCAGGACCTTCGACGTGTCCAGGGGCGACGCTGAGCAGACTGTGGATGAATAATGTGTGCTGGTTCAATAAAGCCTCCTTAAACGACTCTTGCCCGTGTTTTGTGCTTGTTTTATGGGTAAAATCCTGTTCTTCCGTGAGAACCAGGAACGGTTAAAGGGGCTGATGCGGAGCTACTCATCCCCGCAGTGGCTCCACATCCCGGGTAACAGAGAACCAGGATGGCAGCCTCTCTGAGAACCAGGGCCTGCTGCGGAGCTACTCACCCCAGCCGTGGCTCCACATCCCCGGGTAACAGAGAACCAGGATGGCAGCCTCTCTGAGAACCAGGGCCTGCTGCGGAGCTACTCACCCCAGCCGTGGCTCCACATCCCGGGTGACAGAGAACCGGGACAGCGGCCTCTGTGAAAGATTGTAGCTATGGTATGGCTGCTGCTGCTCCGGGATGCATCTCCGGGCATCTCCGGCCGCATCCCCGGGCCGATTCTCCAGCCTGCTGCTCGGGGCTGCATCTCCGGCCGCATCCCCGGGCCGATTCTCCAGCCTGCTGCTCGGGGCTGCATCTCCGGCCGCATCTCCGGCCGCATCCCCGGGCCGATTCTCCAGCCTGCTGCTCGGACATCCATGCTGTTGGCAGATCTGGTGCATGGGACATGCCCTGGAGCGGTCCACGGCCGAAGGCACGCTCATATTCAGGGCTAGGTGGTCTTACAAAACCTTCTGTTGTAATCCTGCCGGCGGGGCTTTGGACATCTGTGTGCTCAAAGTGCTATTTTCCCCGATTGGGCAGGGGCTTAAGCGGGTGTCGAGGGTGGCCGATGCTTTGTACACCTGGAAAGCCATTTTTCATTTCTCCCGGCTCCTGTGAACGTGCTAAAAATCATTCGACCGCACAGGGCTGTGCTCCGGAACACGGGCTACCGGCCCGTGGTGCGTTTTTCCCGGATTTCGGCCTTTTTGACCGGTTTTCGAACGCTTTTCCGGCGCGACTTCCGCCGCTTGCCCGCAGCGGGGGAACCGCGTAGAGACGCGACACCCACGCCGAATTGTTCTCCTGGCTTAGGCCTTCACGGGGATATATGGCTTCCCCGGGTTGAAAGCGTTTTCACCCGCTCTACCGGAAGTTGAAGTTGACCGGGCGGAAAAAACGGCACTCTTTCGCGGCTTAAAAATCGGGGAAACGGTATAAAAATCAGAGACCCACGCCGAATTGTTCTCCTCAGCGAGACCTTTAAAAGCATGTATGGCTTGCCCGGGTGGCATTCATTTTTACCCGCTTTTTCGCAAGTTGAAGTTGACCGACCGGAGCGAAAACTCACAGGCGGAATCCATCACTCAAGCACGGGGGAGAGGAGCGAGACTGCAGCCTCTATGAGAACCGGGGGGCCACGCTCCGGAGCCACTCAACCCGGCAGAGGCTCCACAATCCCGGGTAACAGAGAACCGGGACAGCAGCCTCTCTGAGAACCAGGACCTGCTGCGGAGCTACTCACCCCAGCCTTGGCTCCACATCCCCGGGTAACAGAGAACCAGGACAGCAGCCTCTCTGAGAACCAGGAATCGGTAAAGTGTTTTTAATTCTACCCGGGACAGGGGACCAGAGCCCCGGGTAACTGAACCAGGACAGCAGCCTCTCTGAGAACCAGGACCTGCTGCGGAGCTACTCACCCCAGCCGTGGCTCCACATCCCCGGGTAACAGAGAACCAGGACAGCAGCCTCTCTGAGAACCAGGAATCGGTAAAGTGTCTTTAATTCTACCCGGGACAGGGGACCAGAGCCCCGGGTAACTGAACTGGGACACCAGCCAAAATACTTACCCCAACAGTGGCTCCACGTCCCCGGGTGACAAACAAACATGGTGGAGACCCTGGTTCTTAGACAGGCTGCAGTCCTGGTTCTGCGTAACCCAGGCCACACGCAGTGACAAGGGTAACACAGAACCAGGACCGCAGCCTATCTGAGAACCAGGCCCTCCATCACAACCACTTACCCCAGCCTTGGCTTCACATCCCCGGGTAACAGAGAACCGGGAGCGCAGCCTCTCATACAACCAGGGCCTGCTGCGGAGCTACTTACCCCAGCCGTGGCTCCACATCCCGGGTAACAGAGAACCAGGACCGCAGCCTCTCATACAACCAGGGCCTGCTGCGGAGCTACTTACCCCAGCCGTGGCTCCACATCCCCGGGTAACAGAGAACCAGGACCGCAGCCTCTCCTAGAACCAGGACCTGCTGCGGAGCTACTTACCCCAGCCGGGGCTCCACATCCCTGGGTAACAGAGAACCAGGACCGCAGCCTCTCATACAACCAGGCCTGCTGCGGAGCTACTCACCCCAGCCTTGGCTCCACATCCCCGGGTAACAGAGAACCGGACCGCAGCCTCTCTGAGAACCAGGCCCTCCATCCGAACCTGCAGACCCACACTTAAGCCCCCTTCCACGGATTCAACCAACCAGTCACACGCCCAGCAGAGCCGTGCCCCTGGTAAGGGAAAATAAATAGAATTGTGGTCCTGGTAAGGCTCTGACACTTAGACTATCAGCCAGGGCTGCTGGACTTTGGTTATTTTACTGACGCAGTGCCCCTGGTAAGGGAAAATAAATAGAATTGTGGTCCTGGTAAGGCTCTGACACTTAGACTATCAGCCAGGGCTGCTGGACTTTGGTTATTTTCCCGACGCAGTGCCCCTGGTAAGGCACTGGAGCTTCGGCTAAGGAGGGGCCTGCCCCCGTCGCCCGGTCCGCAAGCGGACCGGGCGACGGGGGCAGGAGGGTCTGTCCCTTCGGCCTGGCGAGCCGGCCCGGTTCAGCAGGATGGAGAACCGGGCCGGCTCGCCAGGCCGAAGGAACAGACCGGGGGAAGGGGCTGGACGGCCGGTCTGTCCCTTCAGCCTGGCGAGCAGGCCCGGTTCCGCAGGATGGAGAACCGGGCCGGCTAGCCAGGCCGAAGGGACAGACCGGGGGGGAAAGGGGGGAGAGGCACGGACCGGGAGTGCGGACCGCGTCTCGGGCAGAGGTACCGGCGTCCCCGGCCGACAGAGACCCGTGGAGGCAGCCTCTGTGACCAGCGGGAGGTGCTGCAGCGCCGGGGACACCGCCGGCACCACGCAGCCCATTTGCGTGACCCAATGTTCGGGGTGCCTAACCCTTACCGAGGGTCTTACCCTAATCCTAACCTTTGGGGAGGGGCTCGCCTAAACCTAACCAGTGGGGGGGCTCGTCCACACCAAACTCAGTGGGGTGGCTTGCCTAAACCTAACCAACCCACCAGGAAGAGCAATTTGAGGTGATTTGTAAGTGTTATCCGGCATGTTGGAATATAACTGGTTTTTTTGATAAGGCCCTTTCAAAATAAGAAATAGAACATTAGTGGAAAATACCATGATTGGGCTAAATAAAGAAATTTCTTCATTATACCTTAAGTTGATTTTTGATTGCAGAATAAAAAATAATTATTTGTGGAAATATGGGGGATTTTCCTTGGATTTATATCACTGTTTACTTGTATGACAGAATATAATTTCTACTGAAAGGAGAGTCACACCTTCTACAAAAGAACAAGATGGTGTGACTCCTTATCTTTTAATTGTTTTTGATTTGATTGTGATTCTTTTTAAGTTAGAACTTACTTGGTAGATGTTTATATTTATAATAATTTCTAAAAAAATGTAAGTTATGTATGTAATCGTAAGATATTGTTATTGTTTTGGTTTTATTATTGACATTCCGGCCATGAACGGCTGTGATTGGAGGTTGTATATGTCAATCTTGTTGATGGGCGGTGACTATGGGTCCTGAGATGGGATGACAGGAAGATTTCCTGTTGGACGCCATTTCAAGGTCACTCTAAAGCGGACACGACGTGACTCAGCACCTGTACACCTGAAGAAGGAAGATTGTTTTTCCGAAACGTAGTGTAAGTGCTCTTTTAGTTCGTGTACTGCCATAAATTAAAGTTCTTTTTGGGAACTGATTTTTGGTTTTGCTCATTTTATGTATTTCACGTCACGGAAGTGATAGTTTTTAGTTTTTTGCTAGCTTACTTGTCCGCCACGTGGACTTAGGTTTTATTTTTTGTAAATAGTTTCAATAGTATAGTAGTTTTTTATCGCTTCCTATTCCGCACCGGGCTGAATTATGCCCGTTTTTTATGAGGAAGACCGAGAGGACCCGGGGTGGTTACGCGTGATTCGAAGGCCTCGGGCACGCCGGCCACCCCCCGACCGCCATTATGCTTCTCCCGAACGTGATGTGAGGGAGTTCACGGAGCGAGGTCTGCGTCGGCCTTGGCTCTCATATGCCGATGCTGCCCGCGGGGATTGGAATCGCCGTCCCAATCGCCCTGAATCACCGATTCGTCGACAACTGGGACAATTAAGGTGGGGTGATATGGACACTGAACCATGGCGGAGTCCGCGCAGGCGGAACCGCTATAGAGCGCCGCGCAGAGAACCGTGGCAAAATCAGCGTTGGTTGAACGACCGGTACTCGCCGGAGCGCTGGGCTGAACGGATGCCGCGCCAAAGTAGAGCGGATCATTATCAGCAAGAGTCCCGGTTCCGGGAGGAATTGCCATGGGGACAGGCACCTCGTTTTGAACCGGGACCGCCACGGGAGTGGCCACGTCTTTCAACTGGACCACGTTATCCACCTGCTCCGCGCTGGTACCAACCACCGCCACGACCGAGGCGACGTAACAGTTCCACACCACGACGGAGGTCGAGACGTGGACAAAGTTCAGGTCAGGGCCAACGGTCTGGACAAAGGGGACGATCGGAAAGTCGGAGTCGACTGCCCCGCCAACGATGGACCAGGAGGAAGGCAGGTTGCTTCCCAACCTGAGGGGCGCGGACCGGCGCGGGTCCGAGCATGAAGAAACTCGGCCGGCCGACCCGGACTTTTCAAAAAAGGTCAGAATCTTACACAAAATCATTAAAGTGACACACCACTTACAGAATGTTTCCGGGAACTCAACGTCAGATTATCCGCCATCTTTACGGAAACTGATGGAACACCTGACAGAGGTTATAGTTCCCGCGTTCCCGGAGGAAGAGACCATCCTTAAAATTAGTGCCAATGCTAAAGATT